CAGGTCGGGACGAGCTGGTCCGGGGGCTCCAGCGCTGCCCCGGGCTCACGGGGCCCTTGTCCCCCCGCTGCAGGGCACCCCAACAGCTCCCGCAAGGGGGACCCTCCTTGCCCCTGCACCCTCTAGCCCTCACCATTGCACCAGGACGCCGCAGGCCTGCATCTGCTCATCCCAGTGTCCAAGCAGTTGCTACCAGAACCAGGAAGCTAATAAACCTCCTGCCCTTCCCCCTCCCCCCACCCCTGTCCTGACCAACAGCAGCCCCATGTCTGCTAGCCCTTCCCTAGGCCCTGTGCTGGACACCCTGGAAATGCCAGCAGGTGGGGCCTGGTCTTGTCCTACAGCAAAACTTTCGCTACCAGGATGAGCCAGCCTGTCCAGCAGCAGGAAGGGTGGATTGTAGGACAAAGTGGGGAGCTAGGGTGACACTAGGCACCCCTCTCCACCAGACCTTGGAAGAAAAAACCATAGATGTACCCATTCAACAGCCAGACAGGAGCTGAATCTGGCTGGCCAGCGTACACAGGCTGAAAGAAGTGGAGTAGGTGTCCTCACCCATCAACTTTGCACAGCCACTGTAAGACCTGGCACCTGCAATGGCTGGTGGGCCTGAACCCCAGTCCAGGTGTTCATCTGTACAGCAATGCCCTGGGTGTGTAAATGAACCCAGTGGAGGATGTGCTCCCTACACAGCCCAAGTCAGCAGGCTTCATCCTGCACTTACACACTCATGAGTGCTTGCCCCCTCTCCTCACTTTGCTTCCAGCAGGGCCCCTGAGTTGCTGTAGTGACAGAAAAGCTGGTATTCACACTCCTTCACTTACCCCATGGGGAAGGGAGAGCAAAGTCTGCTTGGAATAAAACACTGTCAAGGCCACTGTACTCAGCAAATGACTCGTGATGGTCGTGCCCAGTCCCATGCTCCTACTGTGCTTGGCACAGGTTCTCATCTGCTCCCAAGCTGAGCTAAACACTGCAAACCAGAAAGTGATTTGTCCTTTTACCTGCTGCTCACTTCAATTTATGCAAAACATCGTCCACAACAGATTCTAGCATCATTTAATAGCATGTGAAGAAGCAGGTTGTCACCTATGAAAGCTTATGCCACTCAGTCAGCCACCAGGGTGACACGGTGCCATGAGGTCCTTCTAAGGGTGCTGCACAATATTAGCATCGTTAGATATGCAAACTCCTAAACAGGGTTAACAAGATAAACCCAGAGATTTCAAACAAGAATCCATACTGTCAAAAACACTCTGATCTGTAGTGGTCTTTGAGTTCTTTGCAACAGAAGAATTGCTCTATAATTTTCTGTAGTCAAAAAAATGAGAGAAAGGTAAGAACTGAAGTTTTTTGAGGAGTGCCCTGAATCTAACAAGGGGTGCCTTGAGTCTAAAGAGGTTGATAACCACTGCTCGAAAGTGCTACTCTACCCTGCCTTTGGCCTAACATCCTAATGATGGCCAAGGCTCCACTCACCACGACTGCTTGGCAGGGCCTTTCCACTGCACAGCTCCAAAAGTGGAACTTCCCAGTTAGGCTCGGAAGCGGCGAGAGACGCGCGGGTGAAAGCTCGCTGCGCCCCCGCTTCCCAGAAGCCCCCCAAAACCCTCCAGCAGCCGCGGAGCCCCCCTCCGACCCCCAGCACAGCCGGGG